AAAAAAAAAAAAAAAAAAAGATAAGATTTTATAAACTTCTATAAAAAATATCCTTAGTCTCCTTCTATCCACCACTCCCCACCCACAAAGCCATATTAGAATGGCAAATGCATTCTGTTGGAATTTACCACATGTTTAAAAACCAATTAGAAGTAAAGAGATCCTAGGATATAAGTAAACATCTCCTGCATTTCTGGTTCTCAGGATCTAGCACAGTGCCCGGGTGCTAAGTATACATTCATAAGTTGCTGAAGAGAAGTAGCTGCAAAGTAACTAGTTTTCTTCACTGGATGCCTTTTTATCTTATCCTGACTTCTAAAAATACTTATCTCTAGTTATTGTCAGCGAAGATCTCAACTTTCTGAATCCCTTTCTGCATTCAAGGTACTCAAACAACTAACTCATTGTGCAAGAAGCTCTATTAAAACTGCTGATGATGAAAATAAACTCTTCAGTAAAAAGCCCATTAAGATTAAAAGGCAAGCTGCTGGCCAGGAATTGGTGTTTTAAAAACAAAACAGGCTTTGGCAATGGTTACCTGTAAAAAATGGGCTAGAGTCTGACAGACCTGTGCTCACTCCAAAACTTACCAACTCTGTGATATTGGGCTAGTGACTTAAACTCTCTGGGCCTGTTTCCTAAACCATAAAGTGACGGTAACACAACCCCTGTCTCTCAGGACTGCTGATAGGAATGAACACAATAATGTAATGAGTTGCAACTATCATATGTCCACCACAAATAATCATGCAGTAAATGGTATGTCTTCCCAGATTATTCCAAAGATAACTCAACAATCTCAATAAGGCAAAAGAAACATAACTTACCCCTGTACCCTTCAGGTTTGTTTGTGGAACATGCCCAGAAGAGCATCCTAGTGTTTATTAGAGAAATAACCTCAGGTGCACAGAGTGTGTTGCTGCGGAGAGGGATGAAAAGGACATGAAAAGAAATTGCTTACTACAAACTATCAGAAAATAACATCAGAAAAGAGAAAGAAAACAAGGTACGCTAGGGTAGGTAGGGCACATTCTACTTACCGACAGAACTCATCAGAGTCTTGGTGATCATCTCCATGAAGATAAACCAAAAGAAAGCGAAGTTCTCGCTTGGCATCATTAAGTGCCTGTGGGAAACAGAAGATTACTACTTACTATGAGGACTGTGCCTTGAGCTTTTAATTAGGCTAAGGGAACAAAAGGAGAAATGAGAAAAAAAGATGAGCAAGAAATGAGATTCCTAGGCTCCTATCTTCACACCCTTGGGATTTTTCTCCCTAAAGAAAGTCCATGCTAACAAGCTTTAATGAGAAGATTTTAGTGTTGTAAGGATTTAAATCATATTAGGCACATGAGAGTAGACAGGCTGACACAAAGTACCCAGCAAATCACAAAAAATCCAGCTATTTCCACAATCTGAAAGAAGATAAAAACAGGAGAATCTGACCATGGAAAAGGGAAGGGGAATTGTGCCATTTCACAGCTACAACATCCTTGTAAATAAAAAATGCCATGAAGATGAGCTTGATCCCAGGCCACTTGGCAAGCAGGGATGAGGGACCTGGGACCCAAAGGCATTTTAAAAGCACAGGGTTTAAAAGCTCTTCAAACACAAGGCTACTATCCAAGATTCCTGTGTATGTTTTAACATTTGCATAATCCTGCACAAATTAGAATTCAATTAACATTTCCTAAATAATCAATGGTTTTCTGCCCTCAGATCACAACAGAGGGTGCATGAGAGGTGCTCATCTTATTCATGTCCGCATCTCAAGCATTGAGCACAGTGCTTGGCATAGAGTAGGGGCTTAATGCTTATTCAGTAAGGGCCAGTAAGGAGACTGAGAAAAAGCAGATGTGGGAGATTTAAACACAAAATAGAATAAGCATTTTTCTCTTTCTCCAGGTAGTTTCAGAAATCCTAGAGGCTGCAAAATGGAACCCTTTGGCCTATACCCACAGTATTATTTCTGCATTTTTCTCTAGAAACTAGAGTTATGCTTAACACCCATAAGAAACCTTTATTTTTGCATGCTGAGAGACTACCAGTCAAAGGTCTATGTGGCTTGGGTTGACTGAGATATGCTGCCTTGAGTCTACGGTCTATGCCCTTATTCAATTCTGTGAGGAACCAAAGAAGACTTAGGCTTTGCCTTCAAGGGGCTTAAGGTCTGGTACAGGAGATAAGACAAACACAAACACCTGTAACATAGAGAATGTGAAATTGCTTTGTTTTTTTGTTAAAGCTATAAAAGCAGAAAAGGAGAAATTAGTATTTTAGATTGCAAGGTATGCCAGGGTAGGGCAAATTAATCAGGAAAGGGTATAAGAAGGGAGTGACATGAGCTGGTTGAAGGATGGGCAAGATTCCAATTAGCAAAAATGTGAGGAAGGCATTCCAGGTGGAGGGAACAGCATAAGCAAAAATAAAAGCACAGAGGTTGGAAAGTAGAGTATGTTCAGGAAATGGCTTAGCTGGAGCCAAGCACATGTGGAAACAAGTCACGCAGGAAAGACCTCAAAAGGAAGTTGGGATTAGATCAAGGAGGGCCCAGATAAAAGGTTTGGTCTTTTTCTTCTATAAACAGTGAAGAGCTATTTCAGGTTTTTGAGTAAAACAATGATATGATCAGTGTCGGGCTATGCTTTCCCTTGTGGATAGAATCATATCAGCAAATTGGCATCTATGTGGTTTGTGGCACTGACCTGGCTGTACGTTCCCTGGTAGAAGACAGGGTGTGCCCTCCCATATTTCTCTTCAAAAGTGTGCATAAATGAAACAATGTCCCCAACAGGGTCAGTGACCCGGCTGCGAGGGTCAGGCCGTATAAAACGAAGAGCAAACCTGGGGAGGAAGGAATAAATATCACATGAATTGGCTTACTGTAGTGCATATGAAGTGGGCCAATCTGTAAAGATTCCTGTAACTGAGCCAGAGGCATGGCAGCAAAGGAAGGTAAATGGTCTGTGAGCTGACCATCAAACATGAGAGCTGATTCTACCTCATAAGCTGCAAAGCAGCAAGTGTTGTTCCACTGCCTGTTCAAGAATGCAAACTACGAGGATTTTAAAGTCCAACAATGGGCTGAGAGCCTTTTGCAAAAAATTTAGGGCTAGAAGCACAGGGAAACGAAAACACAATATCCAAAAAGATCATGGGTCAGGCTGTTCACCCAGACTCTAGAATGACACTAATTCAGCAGCCACTATCCATAAGTGGCTACCTAAATTAAAATAAAAATTAAGAGAAATACAATAAAAAATTCAGTTCCTCAGTCATTCTAGGCACATTAAGTGCTCAACAACCACATATGGTTAACGGCTCCCACACTGGACAGTGCAAATACAAAATGTTCCCACTATCGCAGAAGTCCTACTGGACAGCGCTGCTCCAGAACAGAGCTCTGTCTTTTCTGGTTGGCCTACTTGCCTCTCCACTTTTCTGCTCTCCTGGGGTTTTGAATGTTTAGCGCATACTCCCAAGCTATTCAAAATTATGAACAGGCTTCAAACTCAAACCTTCAGCCATAATTTACTTGCTTTTCAAGAGGCAAGCAAATTCTGCTTAATGATTTATGGCTGATGGCATCCACGGAGGAGGTTATAAAATTGGTTTAGAGTTCACTGGCAGATGTGGAGACCTGGCAACTACTGGAAGGCTAAGGATGGTACCACACATCTGTTTCTAAAGAGCCCATCTTTGTATAGCAGCATTTATTTATCCTTTGGGCATTCCCAGAAGGCAATGGGGCAGAGGCTTGATAAGTCAATGTGCTACATAACATTACACAAGTTGCTTGGATGATACAGCTGCATTAAAATTAGTAACACATGCCATGCATATTTTTCCCAAAGAAGCAAACAATATTCATATACTTGAGGAATATTTAGCACAGAAAAGGTGACTAAACTATGACATTTTCCTTACCAAATCTCAAGTCAATTCCTTATCCCCTCAACAAATCCCCCTTGTGTATACAATTTCATTTGGAATTTCTCCTGAGTAATCAAATTAAATTCATTGACACAAACGTTCCAGAACAAACTGAAAAGAAATACAAGAAGGTGTGTATGTGGGGGAATGTTAGAACTCCTTTAAAAGACTGGTGTTTTGATAACTTTCTCAGTAAATGAGTATTTTAGGATTATCTTATTATCTTATTCTTTTTAAGTTTTCGAATTTTGATGAATCAATGGATAAAGGCTTTAACTTTGTTTCTTATTACAATATATTCACATGGCCTATATGACTCAGGACAATCAGCTTTTTAAAAACAGAGATGTCAACTCAGTCTTTGTTATGACTTTAAAGGTTTTTATATACTTAATCTTAAATAGAACAGGGATGGAAAGAGTGCTGAAATGGTTTCTTGGTGAACCATTAAGAACTTTGCTAAAGCAAGGAAGCCATTAGGCAGGCTGTCTCATATAATACCAAGCAGCCACGGTAAAGGTACTGTCTGATTCTTGTACTTCTGCAGTGGCTGGGTCTTCCTTCACCTCCAGCATTTGCTCCCTAGAGCAAGGCAAAGGCTACCCAATATTGAGAGGGAGGTATAGGCTGCCCTCTATACAAGGCCTAGACCACATAGTCTAGCTCCACCTGTTGACATGGATGCCCATGAACATTCTAATTCCCCATAAAGCCTAGGTGTAGGTTCATCTACTACTCAGCTCTAGACCAGACACCCCAAGACTGATGTACCAGCACAGCAGCCCTCTTGACAATTTCTAGCCCTGGCCCCTCTGTAGCTTCCAGTGCTGAGCTCTCTAAATGGTACATGAGGAAGTGAGAAGAAAGGTGGAGGTGTGAAGCAAGGGGATATACACATTGAAGAATCCCAGTGTCAGCAATGAATGGGTTGCCAGGGTAGAGGGAAATGTATAGAAGTGTCCAGAAACGTAAACTTTTGAGAGAGGGATCTAGAGAAATGTGGGTAATCTCAGAACTAGGGAATTTGTTGGGATTGTAAGTAGTCAGATGGAGTTAGACAGTTTAGGGTAAAAGGAGTGTGAAGCTAGTAGATAATGACGGTTAGAAAGGAAAGAGTGTGAAGACTAGGAAATGTGGAGTTAACAAACATGGTGGGAGGAGGGAGGATAACATAAATGTAGGTAGACTGTTGAAAATGATAGGCAAGACTACTTTAAAACAATTGCATTTCACAATATCTGTTGTTATGTTTGAACAATTTAAAATGTTTCCATACTATATTAACAGACTGTTCAGGAAGAGTATTCAATCTGATGACAAACTGGCAAGTCAAAATTGACAGAGCATAAACTTTATTCTGGTCTGTTTCATCTCACAAGTCTATCCTGTTGCTACTAATACATAAATACAATGGTACATACCTAAATATATCAAGTATTGTGTAATAGGTAAACCGGAATGGAAGCATTATCAAGTAATAACCCCATCCAAGCAGCCCCTGAAATTCCAAAAACAAAGTTAGATAACATTTCTCAATCCCTAATACCTTATAAAATAGCTAGTTCAGATTCATACACTTTTTTGTTCAAGTCATTTCTCCTGCTGCAATCCAGGGCCCTTTTCCAGGGTACCTCATCCTTCTTAAGACCAAACTCATTTTAAGACCAAACTCATTTAAGACCATTTAAACTCATTCTATAAGACCATCTCATTTCATGAATGCTATCATAGTTTTATTTTATTATGTAATTTTTAAATTTAAAGCTACTTTAACACTTTCTTTGCAGGTACTTATATTAGTTGCCAAATTCAATCATAAGTTTTCCTCCCCAAATGATATCCTTTCTTCACTTTTTAGATTTATAGATTAAAATGTGATATATAAAAATAGCAAGAAAGATAACCACTCTTACTACCTTGGACATTTGTATATTATAAATTCCCATATACCTGTTAATCTTAGTTATAATGCTAATTATTATTTTAACAAAATTGATTATTGCTATTAACTAGCACATACATAGGGTGCTATAGTTTTTTTTTTATTAAAGTATCATTGATATACAATCTTGGGTTTCACATGAACAACACTATAGTTTTAACACTCACCCTATATTATCAAGTCCTCATTCCCCACCCCCCACTGCAGTCACTGTCTATCAGTGTAGTAAGATGCTACAGAGTCATTACTTGTCTTCTCCATACTGTACTGCCTTCCCTGTGACCTATCTATATTGTGACTGCGGATTATAGTGCCCCTTAATCCCCTTCTCCCCTCCCCAATGGTAACCACTAGTTCCTTCTTGGGTCTGTGACTCTGCTGCTATTTTGTTCCTTCAGTTTTGCTTTTTATTTTTATACTCCACAAATGAGTAAAGTCATGTGGTACTTGTCTTTCTCCGCCTGGTTTATTTCACTGAGCATAATAATAGGGCACTATAGTTTACAAAGCATTTCTTCTATGTCACATTGTATTAGATATCTGAGACTCTCCTTGTGTCCATGGCCAGGGAGCTCTGGAGCCCCATGGTGGACACTAGGGTCCCAAACACCAAGTCAAGCCCCAAACAAACTAAGGAAACTCTGACCATATACAGAACTACTCCTCGAGTCTCATAATTGCTCTAGTAATCTGCGCTCTTCTACTTCACAATACCCTAAAATGACTACTTTGATAGTCCATTTAAAAAATGCTGTCAGATAACTCCACAAAAGGTATGAAGATGGAGTAAATTCTAACTGCTGCAAGGTTAATGGGAGTTCTTTCTTGGAATCCTAAATCCAACAGGTGAGTGTAACTCCAAGGACAAGAAAGAGAAACTCCAAAAGTTCTCTAGAGTTCTTTATCAGCATACACATCTGACTTCTCTAATTAAGACTGAGAACAATCTGAAGGGGGAGGCTGGCTCTTTATTCATCTCTGGATTCCCAACAGCAAGATATACCAGACATGTAGTAGCACTCTTAAACTCCTGTTAAATTTAACTAAACCACCTCCTTTCTATTAGCCCTTCAAGACTAATTTCAAAAATATCACCAATGCCCCCACAAAGATTCCTTCCTAGAAGTAGCTTAAAATTAAGTAAAATAAAGCAACAAAGAACTCAGTAAACATTCTAACTTAAAAACAGAAGATCTACTAAACATGTAGCAAACATTTTTAGACATGTAAATAACCCTACTATGTGCTCAAAACAAGGCACAGAAAACGATTCAAATAACTAGCAAAGAACCAGGGGGACAAAAGGATAGTTATTATATGGAGTCATTCAGAAATCAAGGAAAAAGGATAAATGCAATAAACCTATCAAGGAGCCAGGTCTAGCTAACAGGTTTACAATAAGAGTATTTATTTTGCTCCATCCAGATAAAGATCAACATAACCAAGTGAACGGACTTATACAATAAAAAAAGGGAGAAATAGCTATACAATAACTTGCCCTTGGTTGTGGTCTTGAGACAACATAGCTGTAGATCCTGTGGTCAGCTGTATTAACCTGCAGAGGTCGGGATGGAGGTGGGTTGAAAACACTTGGTACACCCTCTTGCTCATTCAATCTGTCCTGTACAGCAGCCTGAGGAAGGAAACAGCAGCAAGAGTGTCAGCAAGGCTTAAATCGATCCAAAGGCAAATACAAGGCAACCAACCACTGCTTGGTGTTCCAAAATAAGTCACCCGATGCACGCATCTTTACAGACCTTTACCTTGTTGTGGTGAGATGCAGTATGGGTGATGGCTCCAGAATGCATACACAATACAGGAGAGTCCAAGGAACTTGTGTGGAAGCTCCATTTATGCGGCAGGCATACTGCTTTTATGCAGAAGGTGTTATTTAAGGTAGCTAGGACACACAGTGCTCACTGTACCAGCCTAAGGAAAGCCATCCACAGAGAATACAACTAAACAGCACTTCTAGAGCTGTGCAATGCAGCAATGCTGATGGATGGTCCTCGATGAAGGGTGTGGGTAAAATTGTAATTATTTCTAGAATATCTCGCCTGGCTTTAGTGCATATGCATATCAACAGGCATTCCTCAGAGGTGGACACAGTTCATCTCCATATCAACGGGCAATTACCTGGGCAACCGAGGGCTTACCTGAACCTGAGAGGTTAGGGGGTGGGCTGGTTTGCTTCTGCCCAAGCAGGAAAGAGAAATGGCCCCAGACCGCAGTTTGTAAGCAGTAAACGGGTTTTAAACTTTATTTCTCCCTTTGACTGATTTCAGTTTTAGAGGTACTTTGCCCCAGGATTTCCTTTCCCTAGAGTTACAAAGGGCTTAGCTTTGGAATACAGAAACTTAGGTCTGAATCCCAGCTCTACCATTAAGAAAAATTACTTGGCTTATGTTTCTATATATATTTTAAATATATAGCAATATTTCTAAGGGTTAATTTGAAAATTTAATGAAATGATCATACATAAAGATCCTAACACAACTTCTGGCAGACAGATGATATTCAATAAATTATCATTCCCTTCTTAACTCTGGCCCTGAGAACAGATTATTTGTCCCCATGTACTAAAAAATTTGGCCTTACCCAAAGAGGGGTCTCATTTTTTGCCTTTGGCTTCTGGGAGATAATCTATGTCACTTCTGATAGAAGTGTCTTTTTTTACTGGATTTCAGGGTGGGGACTAGCCACCCCAGAAAGACCAACCATGTGATTTAGGATGGGAACTTTGGATAATGCGATATCAGTTGACCTGGAGGCTAAGAGTCTAATCACCAGTCAACCAATCAAATCAATCATGCCTATGTAATGAAGCCCAATGAAAACTCTGGATATTGAAGAAAAGGTAAGCTTCCCTGTTTGGCAGTACTTCATGCATATTGTCATAATCTACGCCAGAAGGGTGGCTTGTCCTGATACCATGAGAGATGAATATAGAAACTTAGTGTTTGGAACTCAAGTCTCTGTTCCATGTGTCGCTTCCTTTAGCTGATTTTAATCTGTGTCCTCTCCTTGTAAAACTGTAACCCTGAGTATAACAGCTTTGAGTGAGCCCTTCTAGTGAATTATCAAACCTGGGGAGGATTTTAAGAACCCCCTATACTGCAGGTCGTGTGAGCAGTGAGCATTGTCTTGTGTACCCTTTAACCTTAATAGTTGGCTCTGGACTTTGCAGAGTGGCCAACTCCAGGTAGACATCTAATTTTCATGTTTTTGAGTGTTAAGGCACAATTCAATGGGAAAGAAGTCTCACCAAATAGTGCTGGGATGACTGGATAGCCACATGCCAAAGAATGAAGTTGAACCCCTAAATCTAACTATATACAAAAATAAACTTAAAATACACGAAAGGCCCAAATGTAAGAGCTAAAATTATAAAACTCCTAAAAGAGAACATAGGTAAAAATCTTCATGACTGTGGATTAGGCAATGGTTTCTTAGATATATGACAGCAAAAGCAAGAAAGGAAAAACTAGATAAATTTGACTTCATCAAAATTGAAAACTTTTGTGCATCAAAGGACACTATCAAGAAAGTCAAAAGATAACCCACTGAATGAGAGAAAGTATTTATAAATCATATATCTGATAAGGCCTAGTACCTAGAATATATAAAGAACTCTTACAGCTCATTAAAAACACAAACAACCCAATTTAAAAATGGGCAAGGCAAAGGTCTTACATTTCTCCAAAGAAGATATACAAATGACCAACAAACAGATGAAAAGATGCCCCACATCGTTACTATCAGAAAAACACAAATCAAAATCATAAGATACTACTTCACATCCACTAGAAGGCTCTAACATAAAGGATATTCCCAAGTGTTGGTGAGGATGTGGAGAAACTGGAACCATCACACACTATTGTTGGGAATGCAAAACAGTGTAGGCTCTCTGGAAACAGTCTGGCAAATCTTCAAATGATACAAGAGTTGCCATATAACTCAGCAATTCTACTCCTAGGTGTTTTACCCAAGAGAAATGAAAATGTACATTCACACAAAAACTTGTACACTAACTAATGTTTACTCCAACATTACTGACACAAAAGTGGAAACAATCCAAACATCTATCAACTGATGAATGGATAAAGATATTGTGGCATATTGATACAGGGGACTATTATTTGACAATAAAAAGGAATGAAATACTGCTAATATACTATGACATCGATAAACCCTGAAAACATTGTGCTAAGTGAAATAAGCCAGACACAAAAGGATAAATACTGTCTGGTTCCACTCATATGAGGTATCCAGAACAGTCAAATTTGAAAGAGAAAGGATTGTGACTCCTAGAAGTTGGGGGGGAGGATAATGGGATTTGTTTAACAGGTACAGTTTCAGTTTGAGATGAAGAAGTTCTTAAGATGGATAGTGGTAATGGTTGCACAATGTAAATGTACTTAATACCACTAAATTGTATACTTTGGTAAACTTTGTTATGTATATTTTACTACAACACAAAAAAAGGAATGAAGTACTGCTATATGCTACAACATAGGTGAACCTTGAAAGCAGGTTAAGTGAAAGAAGCCAGTCACAACAGACCACATACTCTGACACCACTTACATGAAAGTCCAGGAATGGGAAATAAACATTTGGTTAGTAGTTGTTTAGGGATGGTGAGGATTATTAGGAAGGTAAGAGCTAAAGGGTATGAGCTTTCTTTTTGGGGTAATGTTCTCAATATTCTAAACATTTTTGGAAAAATGTTTTAAAACTTTGGTAATGGCTATACAACTCTGAATATATTAAAAACTCTACATTTCACATTCTAAATGGATAAATTGGTGTGTGAATTACACAGCAATAAAGCTGTTATTTAAAAAACAACTGATAGCAATTGTTGTCAATTAAAAAACTAAAGCTTTAATTTTTTACAACAGATTAAAGGCATAGAAAATATGAAAATCCAGTTATTTTCTATTAAGCCAGACATTAAGAAGATTTGCAAAAACTTATGTTAACCTTTAATGAGTTTATTATTTCTTAAAAGGAATAAACTAAGAAAATGTTGAGTTTTATTTCAGTTTGGAAAAAATCAAGACATTGTTATTATCACCATGTTGGGCATAGGACTGAGAAATAGAGGTAGGAAGGTGATTTGAGTGGGACTTTTTTTTGTATTTCATCTTAGGCTTTGTTTGAACTTTTTAAAACTAAAATTAGATTTATATATTTTTGTATTATTTTTATGAGTTCTTAAAACAGACTAAAGTAAAAAAAACTGTAAATACAGCACATCATCGGTGTAACAATAAAATTAAAGGTAAATCTAAATAGCTCTATAAACCAACATCAAGAGCCTGAAATTTAACTAGCTATCCATGAAGTGGTGGGATTAAGGGTGAACATTTCTTCTTTATGCTTTTTTGAATTCTATGTGTGGGTGCACACATATACATGAGTATTTTTCTAACTCGCATTTAATATTATACCAGATAGCTGCAAACCAATAAAGAAAGAAAGCAGGGGTGGCAATATAATAAATCAAACTAGTTAAAGCAAAAAGCACCATCTGATATTAACAAAAGATATTACAAGAAAGTTCTAACAGCACTTGTTTTTATGTGTCAAATAAAATAGCCAAACTATATAAAAATCAGAGTGTCTCCCCACAAAATAGAGAATTTACTAATGTATTTTATTTGTGCCATGTCAAATCAAGATGCTGAAAAAAACATAAACCTGCAGAAGTTAAAAATAGATTTTTAATAGATAAAAACAACAGAAAAAATGAACTGGTAAATACAAGAACTTTTTATAAACAAAGAATAAAATAAACCAGTCTCCAAAAAAGGAAGACAAACATAAAAGAAACAATGAGAAGAGGGAATAATAGAAGATATACAGAAGACATGCTACATTGTATAGCCTATGCTAAAAAATATGAAAATCTCTAAGACAAAAGCATTTTCTCAGAAAGCTTACCAAGAAAGATTTAGGAAACACAGGTTATAAAAGATGAAGAAAACATGAAAAAAGTAATAGATAATTGACAGAAACAAGTTTTTAAATGCTTTCTTTCGTATCTATGCAATTTATGCTTCTCAATTCATTTATGCAATTTATGCTTCTCAATTCATTTAATAAGTTAGTCATTTCATAAAACCAGCATATGCTTGAAATCAAAATCTACCAAGGAAACAGCAAAAAGTATCATACAGAGCAACTCTGCCTGAAATGCATTTCCCCACATATTTGCACATTTGTCACTCCTTTTCATCATTCAGGTGTCAGCTTAAACACAACCTCCTCAGAAACATCTTTTCTGACCACCCCATTTAAAGTAACTTCCAGATATTCTGTTGTACTTCCTATACTCATCTTGTTCATAGTATTTATTACAAAATGAAATTGTTCAGAATTAAGCTCCATGAGAGTAGGGACTATCTTGTTTGCTTATACTGTTCTGGTATAATGTCAGAACCTAGAATTTAACTGCTTAAAAATATGTGTTGAATAACTAACTGAAGAATATATTTTTAAAAATCCATCACCCTATTCCAATAACATATCATAATGAAAACAAGTAATTTCAAAAGAGATCAAAAGGGTGTTGATAAAATTCAACACCCAATCCTGATATAAACATTTAACATAACAAGAATGGAAGAACAGTCAACAGATATTTATTGAGCTTCTGATGTGCTAGGATCAGTTTTAGATGCTGGGAATACAGCAGTTAACACAACTGGAAAAAAAATCTTTGCTAGCAGTCACAGAGCTTACATTCCAGTGGAGCTACCTCAAAACCACCACCACCATTGCACTTGATAATAAAACATCAGAGGCATTACAGTGAGGACAGGCTGTTTGCTATCCATTATTAATTAACATTGTTCTGAAGTTCTAGCCAATTCCATGATCAAGTAAAAGAAACAAAAGATCTACATACTGAAAAAAATCAATGAATTGCAGATGATACAACTACCTAAAGAAAAAAAAAACCACCTATAAAATATGTAATAAGAAGGTTCACATTAAGGTATCCAGTTACAAACCAAATATATAAAAACCAATGTTTTCCCAAAGAGCCATTAAGAAGATATAAAGGAGGGGCACTATACTCAGAGACTTGGTCACTATCTCTTCTTTCATAAGCTTCACCTTTCCCATACCTTTTTTTAATGACCGAAGAGTTGTAAATGTGCAAAAAATCTGTTGAGAGAAAAGATTTCTGCTGTGGACAACTATGTGTCTTTGATTTGTTATCAAACTAAGGGAGAAAAAAAAAGCTCAGAATGAATCCTATTATACCTCTATGTTCCAGTTATGCTGTTCCAAGGTATGGCGACATTGATCCATAGATTCTATGCCAGTCAAATCCTGAAAAGAGGGAAAAAACAAGTTACTTCAGGAAAAACCGACAGTATAAATGTAGATACTTTTACCCCTAAAAGAATACTGCTGGGAAAATACACTAAAAACTTCACTATTCAGAAATTATCCAGGCAGTCCAGGCAGTAATAGTAGATATTACCCCATACAACAAAAAAAATGAGAACTTATCTTTTTAAACTTTGAGGCTTCCACTTAAGATTGTTGATTAAAATAAATTACTCCTTTCAAATTCTAGTTTGAAAAATTAAAGATTTTTTTCAACTACTGGGTCCAGCAAAATATTCTTTAATGATAAATAAGTATTCTGTTTATAATACATAATAATATTATAATGCAGGTTTCCTGCAAAATGTAATGCCTTCATTAATTTACATTATTTTACCCATTGGCATATAACTGAGATTATAATATGCAATGTGTAAAACTTTTTAGTAAAGAGTCTGTATTTCAGGTGTTTCCCTGAAGTAATATTTTCCCTACCCCTTTCCCCCTTCTCAAGTTTCACTTTGTCTCAGACCAAAGCTCCTCCTCTGGCTCTTCTTCCATCCCTCCAAATGCAAGAATTTCCCTAAGGATGTGTTCTCAGTTTCTGTTCCCTCTATACCTATCTTACTGGCAATCTCATTTAATACTCAGCCTTCAATCACCCTTTCTTCTCAGATGACTCCTACTTTAATTTCTCGATTTGCCATATTTTCTGAAGTTTAGTAGCACATTTCCAACTGCATATTCAACATTTCCACCTAGATGTGGCAGCCATACCCCAAATGCATCATTTAAACTATTATGTGTGTTAAAGACACCACCACCTTCCAAATATACAAGCAAAGATGTTATCTGGAACCTAGGCCTCATCTTTTGAGTACTCTACCCCTTGAACTTCATCAGTAATCAAGTTCTGACCATATTCTGTAGTACATCTGTAACCACATTTCCATTTTCACAGCTTCTTTCAACAATCAAGCTTTTCTAACACTTCAAGTGAATTACCAAAATAATTACTCTGTCTCCTCCTAACTCTTCTCTAGTGTGTGTGCGCACATGCATATGTGTGCATGCATGTGTGTTACTCCTCTGCTCAAAACTTTGGTTGACTGGTAATAAATTTCAAAATCCTTAATTTGGCACTCAAGTATTACTTTAATGTGGCCCCAACTTAGCCTCCTGGCTTTCTAGATTATTTTCTATTTCCCTTAAAGAATCCAATACTCAACAAATCTAACAGTTGGTATGTACGTCTAATGGCCAGAATTTCCAGAGCTAAATCCTAGCCTTCCTTCAGGTCTAATACAAAAGCCAAATCCATCCATCCCTTCTTTCATGCCGCTATTGTCTATTTTGTGTATTACTTACAACATCCAAGACATATAAAGATGAAGACAATATAGTCTCATCTTTTAAGAAATCCTCTTAGTAACCAGCAAGAAACAAACAAACAAAAAGACACTGATCTCCATCTGGCAAGTGCTTAAGTGCAAATTAAGTCAGGAGCCTGAGATTCTTGCCTCGATTCGAGATCCTGTGACCATGGACCAGACACATTTTAACTCTGGATTTTAGGTTCCTTTAGGTTCAACATGAGACATTTAATTTGGACTAGATAGCCTTTCCAGAGCTCAAAATAAAAATACTGAAGCTTGAATTCTACAGGTATGCAATTGTTTTGTTTTGTTTTTAATTGTCAAGCTAGTAACATTTTTAAAGAAAACTTAAAGTACTGTAAAAACTGCAGTATTAAAATGGAAAGTTCTGTTAAGAACTCTAGAGCTCTATTAAGAACCACTGGCTTTGATAGCTTTAATAGTCTGGATGTTAGTTCCTGGCCATTCCAGGACTCTTACTAGTTCGGCTATATTGCCTTCTGGCTTATAATAGGCTTCCCCTTACCTTCCAATTTCCTTCTAGCCCACAGAAGACTGGGATGTCTGGGGTTCTGCACTCTGTCATCCTAGTCCTTTAAGAATTATTTTTACCTCCTTCCCAGGGTGTGAATGACCACCCATTTTTAAACACTAAAATTGTTTTCCACCTCTCTTTTGCACCTATTATTTTCTACCTTCTATTATGATTATTCATAATCATTTGCAGCCTTATCAGGGGATATAGGCTCCTTGAGAGTAATGTCTGTGATCTGTCTCTATATATTGCTGCTCCCCAGTACCTAGCTACAGTAACAGCTTAATAAGCTGCAGAAAAAGTTAGCCCCAAGTTAAAAGACCTTTCCATATAAGCTTCGATGGTCATTGCTATGAACTGAAATCCTCTAGACATTTTCACCAAAATGTCTTATTGTACCTCAACGCCCTCAGCTTATTAAACTCCAAATGTTCTGACTAGATGCTAAAATGGCAGTTAAACACACAAATTTACAGTATCTTCCTGGAGATCAGTAAGTCAGGGATGGAACCCAAGAATCAGTGTTTTTTCTCAAAAGCTCCTCAGCTGACTCTAATCCCAGCCAGGCTGGGAAATCCATGGTATTGTACAATTCTATGTAGGACCAGGGATTAATTATAAGTCACTTATTAAAATAACTGGTATGTGTTTTTTTTTTAAAGGTTATCAACATCGTAGGACAATCAGGGTAATTGCACATCTTCATTACACTGAACTACTTAACCCAATTTGCAAGCAAAACCCTTTTGTAAGCAGAGAATCAGGGTGAGCTGGAAGTACAGCTGACCAAGCCTGCTTTTAATCACTACTGATGAGTATAAAACATGCACCAGGAATAAACAATGCTGGGCACACCCAGGACAGGACTACTCATTCATATATCCAAGAGATCCAGTATTCTAGATATCCAGGATACAGACAGAGTCCCTGCTCTCATTATGTTTGTATCCTACTAGAGGGAGATTAACCAAAAAGAAAAAACAACCCAAGTAAGAGCAAGTAAATGAACAGAATTTTAGGATGGGGGATTCCTTTGGATTGGTGCTAAAGGAAGGCCTCTCTAAGGAGGTATTTCAGCTGGTACAATTCGAGCAACAAAATAAAGTAGTAATAGATTACAATCCAACATACAAAACAAACATCCATGAGTCTATATAGATACAAATACATGACTGAATAAATAAATGGCAGACAGCAGACAAACATCCTGGGCAGAATTCCAAACAATTATGTAGACACTTGCTTCAAGGAGGAAGAAAGTAACTCCTCACTTCTTTACATGTGGGCTATGCACAGTGAGTCCTTCCTACCTCTGCCAAGTGATCAGCATGATAAATGCCAACATGGTAAACCATGTCGATAGTACGTATCCTTGGTAAGATATAATGTCATTTCTGTATTTGGATTCAGAACCCATGCAGGTGGTGGCAAGACAACTGGCTTTGGCATGATTTACAAGTCTTCAGATTATGCAAAGAAAAATGAACCTGAACATGGACTCACAAGACAAGGACTCTATCAGAAAAAGACCTCAAGAAAACAGCAAAAGGAACTCAAGAACAGAATGAAGATGATCAGGGGGACTGGAAAAGTCAATGTTGGTGCTGGCAAAAAGTGAGCTGGAGATTGGACAACAAACAGGAGTAAAGGTCCTGTGCTGACTTGACCTGTGGTGACTGCAGATTTTTCATGAGAGGATTAATAAACTAAGAACTTTTATGTGGGGAAAAAAAGCTTTGATATTGGTTTATTAATTATGATAAATGGGCTTTAGTTAATAATGTATCAATATTGGTTTATTAATATGACAAATGTACCGAACTAATAATGTAAGGCGTTAATGGGGAACACTGAATGCAGATTATGTGGCAGGTCTCTGTAAAATTTTTGCAATTTTTCTGTAAATCTACATCTATTCTAAAATAAAAAGTTTATTTAGCAAGTGAAAAAACAAACTGGAGTGAGGAGGATTTCTGAGACAGAATAAGCTTGGTAAATTGGCAGATAAGGTCTGAGATGTAGGCAGGGGAGAGAACATTTGCCTAGCACAGTTTCTCAACCTTACTTGAATTATCAGAAGCACCTATAGGGAATACATAGCTGCCCAGACATTCTCCACCCCACCCCCACCCTCAAGCAATTTAATAAAATTCCCTGAATGTGTCATTTACTAAGAATTAGGAAAACTGTTAAAATCATTTTGCTTACCTTCATGAGAAAATTTTTTTTTCTGGTGAAGTGTTTTAAAAGATTACAGGACACTGTGGAAACAGACTGCCAAACAAAGATAAATGCACTCTTATCACGATGTTAACTAACTGCACTGTGTGAGAAAGGACTGCCTGACCCCAGTGCTGGCCAGCAGAATGACTAGTGATCTAGCTAAAGTATCAAATGCAAAACAAGCTGAACTCATTTGGCACTTATTTTATGAAAATAGCTGTACTCATAGCCCAAACAGAGTTGGTGACCTGGGTTTTCTCTGAGTTTTGTATTTTTGAAAAATCTAATCTAATTTAGGCAAAGAAAGTGTAAATACTAGAGAAAGGAAGGTTTCCGTTCCCTGTGATCCCAACTACTATTAATACAATTCGTTTATATTTTAGTGTATTTCTTAGTTCCCTGCACTCTTAAGAAAATGATTTTAGGTTTTGATTCACCCTCCTTTCCAATCTCTCTTTCTTGCATACAGAGGGATCTGGTTAATGGGCTTTGCTTCTCCTTTCTAGACTGTAAGCATCTTGTGAAGAGTCCATTCACCTTTGCTTTTTGGAGGACTCCAGTGGTGCTCTCTCCTGGCTTGAGAATCAATCTCTCCACCCCACACTTTGCGCTAACCAAATCCATCCCACATCACTGTATACAGTCAAGGTTTGGGGAGCTTTCTCTAATTTTTCTTGTCTGTGAGACTCCTCTCTCCTAGATATGTACAATTTTGAGCACTCTTAATCATTACGGCAAGTACTCCCTTATGCATTTTAATGGTCAATGATATTCCAATTGGCTAGAACAATTCTTATAGATGTTACAGTTGTTTCTGATTTTCTGCTATTAAAATACCACCTTGACCAACATTTCTGTTCATGAAG